TGCACCTTTTTTATTCTTACTCTATATCAATAATATTCCTGATGAGATTAATGTTAAAATACGTCTTTACGCCGGTGATTGTGTTCTATACAATGACGTTAAGTGTGTTAATGACCAGATTAAGCTCAACGACGATTTAGGCAAGGTTGTGAGATGGTGCAATAAATGGCAGACATGTATAAACCACGACAAAAGTGTTTGTATGACTGTGACTAACAAAAAGAAGCCTTTTTTATTTTTTATCATCTAAACCAACGATTTCAGCTAGAGTCACCGAATTTAAACACCTGAATCCATGGAACGGCTCCGATATTTGATGCGGTAAACACGTCAGCATAGTTTCCATTAATGTATTGAGATAATTATTCTTTCTCAAACGAACATTAAAATCAGCCACTTTAGATATTCTACTCTTAGCTTACAAAAGCTTCCTTTGTCGACTTTTAAAATTTGCTTACATCATTTGGGATTCATTCACACAAATAAGCATTAACCGCATGGAACGGATACATTAGAAGATTGTAGGGTTTATTTCTAATGCACATATCAATGTATCTGTATATCAGCTTACCCAACGGGTTGGTTTGTTTCAGTTTGATAAGAAAAAGAAACATGCATACTTCAATTTTATTTGAACTAATTAAGGGTTAGTATAACGTTAACGTGGGTGAATACCCAACTTTTTCTACAGGCTACGCCACCCCACATAACCACCCACTTACCATCTTACCCTACCAACCGCGCATCAATAGCTTTAAATTTTCTTTTTGCTCGGACAGTTATAGAATGGAATGGGCTTTCTCACGATATTACCTACCAAGGTACTGCTGGTGCATTTGTTTCTGCTTTGTGTTCCAAGTGATTGTATAAACTTTTTTTGAATTTTTACATCGTTTTCTTTTGTATGTATTTCCACCCCGCCACAATTCCTCGAATGAAATTAACAGTACAGTATATGCTGGAATAATAGATGCACTTAGAAGAATGGATAGTTGGGCGAGTTGGTGGGAATTCATTGTAGGAAACAGCGCGAAAAACAGACAAGGACAAAGAAGAAGCACACGGGACGAGCGCTGACTATCAACTGAAATAGTTTAACAGGAATACACATGAAAACGACCATTCATTTTTTGCAGTTCACACCCCGTCTGCGTATTCCGAGACAATTCTGAATTTGAATTAATTCTGAATTCTGAATTGAATGATTTCTGAATTCTGAATTGAATGAATTCTGAATTGAATGAATTCAGAATTCTGAATGAATCGTCTCGTGACACGCAGACAGGGCTGTAATGCAAAAGATGAATGGTCGTTTTCATGTTTTTTCCTATTAAAATATTTCATTTGATAGTCAGCGCTCGTCTCGCGTGTTTCTTTGTCCTCGTCTGTTTTTCGCGCTGTTTTCTACAATGAATAGCCGCACCTTTTTTGAACAAGGCCCTTGCGTCTACTTTCCTGCAGAACACACATACAGCCGATCATCGCGGCATAGAGAACGCAGCGAATAACAAGGTCGAGAACACGATTCTACGTAAAAATGCGATCTGAAAAGATAGCAATTTCGCCGTGCAGACTCTCTCTCTCCCGTATATCGCTGCCATTTTTCTGCAGATCGCCGTGATTCGCTATCCCCATGCTCCGCGGGAAAGCAGACCCACAGGCTTTGTTCAAAAACAGCGCGGCTATCACTCAAACAAATGCAATGTTAAAAAAAAAACAAAAAACAAACAAACAAACAAAAAGAAAACAGAAGAAAAAGGCGTTGCTTTGATTTAGATTTTTGATCTGTTTTCATTGCTCCTTGCTCAAGTTGAGTCAATCTCAGCTATATTGTCACGGGTGGTGACCAAAAACAACAAGTAGACAGGAAGAAATAAACGTTTAATGTGGCCGAACTTGTGCCAAAAATAAAAGGGTACAAAAGATAATAACAGAGCGTCGCGGGGGTCGAAGTCGGCGTGGCAGCTGAGTCGAACGCTGGGGCGAGACACTCCGCTCGCCTTGCGGAATCCCTTATGTACCCTCGTAGCCTTCTGGATCGTTCGGCGTAGAAGGTTCGGCGCGTAGACCATTCTAACCTCGAATCAGCAAGACGGTTCTCGAACTCACCAGAACATCACATTACAGTGTCAACAAAAATGCGCCTCCGCGGCCAGGAATCGAACCCTGGCTTTCAGCGTGGAAAGCAAGCGCGATAACCGTTAGGCCACGCGCGCGCTGCCTACTTGGCCAGCTGCGCGCGCGGCAATATGTATAGCGCTTGGCCGTTAGTTGGGCGTGGATCCTGATGGTGTCTTCGTCCGCTCCCTGTATGACTTCTTACTCGTTTTCCGTACGAGCTTTAGAGTATGCTCCTACAATTTCCCCAGTTCCGGTATCCACTTCTCCCTCAGAACCGTTTCTTGTCTTTTTTTTTTTTTTTTTCTGGGGGGGGGGGGGGGGGGGGGGTGTTACGTCGAGCATTTTTGTGATAGTCTCTCCCGCTATCTTCTGTCCCTGGACTTGTAGTTTCACTTGGTGCTCGGTTTCGGTCTGACCACAACCATGAATTTGTTCGGGTGATACTCTTAGACTTCGTCTATCGCTTGCTGCATGGTGTCCTCCTGATTTTTCAGTGGTGCTCACTTCGTCCATGATGTGGTGTCGTTCTGCATATGCACATATAATGAATCTCAGGCCCATAATGCGCTGGGATGTGACTGGAAGACCAGCCATCACGATATTGAAGATGGTTGGTATTATTACAACACTTTGTAAAGACCCCCCCCCCCCCCCCCCCCCTTCCCCCTTTCTTTGGGCGCCATTGGTCCTCTTGTCTTTCCGTTCTTGACTTGGACCTTTCTGTCCACGAGGAAGCTCCGTATGAACCGCCGGTGGATGTTGCAGAGGCTGTGGGCCCCTAGGACACAGTATTTGCTGCCCTGATAAGACTGCCAAGTGCGGAGCCACATCAAACGACTGCTTGATATCCAGGATTACGACAAGCTTTGTGCACGTCGCATCCTTGTCGTCCATCACTGTCTCGCAGAGGAGCTTTAGGCTGTCCTGAAATCCCATAGCCTACCTGAAACCGTTTTGCCCGAGGTCGGGTCTGTCATAGGTCACCAGGTACCACTAACTCATACCCCGCACGTTTATCTCCATCGTATTTCATGCGTTGAATGTCAGCGAGATCGGCCTAAGGTTTTCGACCATGTCCTCTGGCTTCCCCAGCTGGTTTGGGTGTGGGTGTGACATAGGAAAACTCCCAGTGACTGGGCACTTGTCCCCTGTTTTGCATGTCTGGTTGTGCTTTTCAAGCAGCTCCTTAAATTTAGCTGGAAGGTTCTTGAGGGCCGAGCAGATAACGCCGTCTGGTCCGGGCGCAATATTCGTCTTGGCCGTGTGTGTATTCCTTCCAAGAACTCGCCCATGTTGATATACTTGAATAAACTTATGATGATGAGCTTTTAGATGGATGGACAGAAAACAAGCAGAAACTTTTGTGTTCGAAGCGCTGAATGTAGCAAACGGACAACAAAAATGCACGATTTCGGTACGTGTCTGACGTACGCAAGTCATTCCGGGCAGGCGTTCGCTCCCAATTTCATTCCAACCGCGCTTACATCTTTCGATATCATTTGAACACCCTTAACAGCGTAAAAACGATCGAACGTCAGCGCGCGACACAATCGCCTCCGACGAGTTCGACGTCCTCCCTCCTGGCCCCGTCTGACCGCTTCGTTACGCAAGAAGAGTTGCGCGTTCTCCGCTTTTTTTCGCACTCTGACGACATTAGAACGGCGCTCGTTTGCTCACAACACACAAACGAACAACAACAATCAAAAACAGTCGGAAGGGCGATCGCCGTAACGGCGAGGAGTGCCCGGCATCGGCGTTCTCGTTTCTTTCGCCGGGACTGGGCCAGCGTCTCAGCGGCCGCGCCGTCAACAAAGTCAAGGACGAAGCTGCGGCGGTGGCTGAGAAAAATCGCTGCCTACATCTCCCTCTCTCGCGTTTTCTCCACCACCCCGGACTGACCTGGAAGCCGACCGCTCTCTTGCGTTAGAGAGCGGGCACGCGCTGCTGTTGCGCGTTTGATAATGGTTATACTGGCTGAGGGCTTTCCGCAGGATGAACCAACACTCTCCTGGTAGTAGGCTAGGGTAGGTGGGTTTTCGGGTCTCGGCAGGTTGGTTGGAGTTGCCCGTCTCGCGTTTTATAGCTGTTTTTGCTGTCGGGGGCGTTTTGCTGACTGGCTGGGGAAACGGCGGAGGGGGAGCTGGTTCTGCATTCCACAAGAAAATGCTAAGAAACGATGCTGTTGGGACATTCGTATACTGGTTCGGGTGGCCTATAGACTTCAGCGTTGTTATACGTTTGCTTTTGACTGTTTATTTGTGTGTTTTCCATAGAAAATGGCGTAGATCACTTTTCAGTATTAGCGGTTGGTGCACATGCTCAATTCCGAGTGTTTGTACGGGATTCCCAGTATGCGCACGGGATTTCTAGTATGTGTGCGTACTGGAGTTTCAATGCGTAAACTGGTTTCGAGTCGCCACTGGCTGAAACGTTATTACACGTTTTATATCAGTTGTTTGTTCTGTTGTGTACGCGGAACCCTGTGGAATTATTTACAAGGGTCGTGGTTAGTGCGCGAACTGCGACGGACATTGTATGTACGTTGCTGCTGTAGCTATTAAGTTTTCGTGGTTAGCGCGCACAAAAGGGTAACCATACGGCGATACGAAGAGACGAAGAAATATCTTGATGAAATTATTTCACTCTATACGGGAACGTGTCAACACGCAACAACAGAAAATATTGAAGCCGCAATTGTGAATTCGGAAGTGTCGCGATTATTTCAACACTTCGATTCCAGTGGAGAAGCAAGGCGTGGGAGACAAGGACTATTAAACTTCGAGAGCTTCCTAACGAAAACAAAAATACAACCGCACCAACTCCGAAAGATGAAGAGACATTCGTTCTGAGTCAGAAAGCATTCCCGTTTGTTTACGTACCTCTACGGACTCTGGCTTGAAGAGTACCACCACGGGCTGGAATCCCAGGTAGGCCTTGAAGATCCTCTCGCGTTCGAAGTAGTGTGTCATCCCAACCAGTAGGTGAAACAGACCTGCAATAATTTTGTGGGTTGCAACGACGTGCCTTAAAACAAGATCCATCCTCAAGGCGCACTCATCAATTAAAATACCCACAACTGAAACTCAACCATACACACGCACGCGCACACGTGTGTACAAACAAACAAACACACGCACACACATACACACACACACGCACGCACGCACACACGCACACACACAGACACACGCACACACACACACACACACACCCCACACACACCCACACACACGCACACACACACACACACACTCACACACACTGTACATAGATAGGTTTATTCCGTATTTCTGTATTATTTCAGTTAAAATACCACAAAGTGTTCTAAACTATTTATCTTAAAAGGTGAAACTAAGGCTAAACTATATATTATGTTATTTAAAAAAAAATAGTGTTTATATTTGCTCGATACTACTTAGGTTCGCTAGGTTTGCTGCTTAGTATTTAGCAGATAGTTTATAGGAGTATTCATCTTCAAAATATGGCATAAAAATGGGCAAAAAACAACAACAAAACACCGAATTTCAAAGCCGAAACCTCTTCCGATATCCTAAGAGAAAGAAAGAGTGTGTGAAAAAAGGGAGAGAGAGAGAGATAGAGAGAAGGAGAAAAATAGAAAGATAAAGGTGACATTACATTCAAACTATGCATAGGTAACTACTAACACAAACACAAATGACGCAGCATTCATCTTTAGTAGAACTTTCTCATTATTGCCGAAAGCACCTCTGTTAACTGTTTACAAACGATAAAAATAAGACTCGAAAGTTTAGGTTCGTGCTTTTATTTTGAGATGCAGGACCAAGTAAGACTTCGTTTTGCCAAGGTCCAAATCCTGTTCCGCATACCTTCCAGCGCTCTCTATTTAGCCACGGTTCCGAAGCCACCCTCGTCACATAAAACACGAGGCGACCTCGACGATGATGCCAAACAAGATGTACAGAACCGCGAAGGCCAGAAAGCAAGCCCGGCTGCCTTAGATGAAGGGCATGCAATGTACTCCGCCGCGGCAGCCATGACGCGAAATCGAACTCACCGGCCGTCTTCGACACCGCTGTCCGATCGAGGTAAATAGGTTCAACGTGAATCCAGCATTCAAATGCGAGCCTTGCGCAACTCACTTCAATCTCTTCGTTTTTTGTTTTTTTTTGGTATGTGTTTTTCGGTTGACGAAATTTCTGCTTCGCCTCGCAAAAAAGACGAGAGAGAGCGAATTGAAGCCGTGCAGCGTGTGACGCGCTGCACGGCTCAACTCGCTTTTCGGAAGTACGAGGCGAGGAAACTCCGACAGGAGGCTTTTTTGCACCGGAAGTCGGGTCACGCTAGTGTCCTCGTGGCGAGCGCGGCGCGCGGACGCTTTTTGGGCACGGAAAAGAGAGCCAGAGTGCGTCGGAGTGGTTGATGCCTCGAAATAAGGTCGCTGCTTTCACGCGCCGTTTGAGGGAGGCAGGATTTGGCCGGGCTGGGTTTCGAGGTATTACGCGGTTTTACAAGTTCGGCTACCCGGGCGGAAGCGCTTTACCGCATGCCGCTGGTGATCTGATCAGGAACGACGTTAGGTTGTGCCTCTTGGATTTGCTTTTTTTATTCTCATTTGTTTGTTTTGAAAGCTTTTGTTTGAGTGTTACCGTTTGCAGAAGAGTATGCTAACCGTAGGACAAATGATATTTCGAGGGAGTTCGGTTGGGGTTGTGGAGCGGGCAGCAGGACGATATAAGTGTCGCCGCAGGCTGCATGACTTTCGGACACAGCTGCATGTGCCGTTGCATACACTGATTGTGTTCTCAGCTTTCATCAAACACGCAAACAAACAAACGGGTGGAAACTGAGTTTTTTTTTTTACCATGTCGGTGCGCAGCATCTCTCCACAAGAAGTGAGCGGTGTTCGTAGTGCCAACATTGAGGGGTTTTCGGCTTGCGAAACAGTAAGTTTAGGAACCAGCGAACGCTTTACCAGTTTTCTCCCAGCTCTGTTAAAAGGGGACAGTGCTCCCGGAAACTGGAACGTGCATGCCTGCGTCCTTGCGCACCGAGTAACGAGGCCGTTTTGACGTCAACTCTTTGATCACCTGCTATCGCCTGCTTGGGTTACACCCGATATTACCTGCATTGCCATTAGCATTCCATAAAGGTTTGAGGGACACGGAGGCTCGAGCCAACCACGACCGCCCTTGACAGTTTTTTTTGTTGTTGGTTTGTCTGTCATACTTCCGCTTATCGATTCCTAAGAACACATTAACGTGCACTCCTCCGAACGCTGCCAAACGGCGTGACCTTGGATACGAAAATTAGACACGTGTAACGCGTTTCTTGTAGGGTCCGCGAGCGCTACAGCCGCGCTTTGAGGCGAAGCAAACTTTGCACAAGCGCGCGCACACACACACATACACGAACGCACACACAAACATGTGTGAAGTAACAGCGCATTGCAGGGAGAAAGGGTAGTCTCCCGGTGCATGGGACAGCTGTAGTGTCCTGTAAAGCCGGGAGGTCAGCTAGGGATAGAGGCCCAGGAACGCGTTTTTCTCCGCAATTGTTTTTTGATCACGCGTAGCCACGAGCGTTGCTGCTATCGAGGAGTCGCTATATGGCTGCTGTCTTTTATCTTCCAAGTTGCGTAAGCTGTAGGCTTGTCCTCAAGCGCATTATCTTCCGTCCACGATAGCGGTGTTTTTTCTCGTGCCAGATGCAGGAAGTTTATGAAGATAAAAACGAACATGCGTCGTTGTCTGTTCCGTTTTTTCCCCTTTGTTTCCTGTCTCTTTGAGCGTATTTTGAGGTGAATTCATAAACTATGATCTCAGCTTTGTTTCCTTTATTATCTAGATATAACTATATTATATGACTACTATCATTTACATAATAATATTAACATTATCAATAGTTAATATTTGAGCTCCACGAGATTAAGTTGTTGCTGTCCTGAAAAAATTTGTTTGTTTAGAGACACACTTGGTATCTTACACCTAAAACAACGCATCCCATTTTCAAATCATCTCGCAATACACGTTCTTTATTTCCTTCAAAGTTTTATATTAACCCTCGTTAATTGTTTTCTTCACGCTGAGTCTACATATAAAATAATTCGGTGCCGCGCAGTTCACCCAGAAGAGTGCCGTATGTTATAATAAAACATCCGGATGAACTTTGCTTCATGCGCTTTCAAGTCGCTGCTAACTTTGAGACCCTTAATGTCTCACAATTCAAGAAACGCAGGGCGTAACTTGTCATGTTCCCGCTTCTCGATTCGTTCTTCGGCGTCCTTTTCCGCTGATGCTTGAATCCCGTGGACTAAGGAGCAATAAATAATATGTTCGGGACTCGCCACGTCTTACGTTTCTTAAGTTGTATGTGACCAAATCTAAGCCATTTGTAATAACAAAGACTCTTCGGGAAGGATCGAGACGGTGATATGAAAATTCTACGTACCTGTGGATGTGCTGAACACGTTCTTCATTGCCGCACCAGTGATGAGGCAGTGGATGTTGAAGAGCGGCGGAAACCAATCCGACGGCCCGGCCATCGGCCTCAGGGCCTTCCACATGCGGTAGAAGCGAGCCACCACCTGGACAGCATAAGCACACGCCACCGCCAGCAACGCGCACAACAGGAGTCGCTGGGTGGCCACAGTAACGGTCATCACCATCACGTACCGCAGCGACAGCGCCGACGTCGCGCTAGACACTGCCGAGAACGTACTCGTCACGATGGCAAACATGATGATCACTCGATCATCCGCTTCAGGGAACGACGTCCCTCCTGTTCATGGTTGTCGTCGGAGGACTTCTGGAAAACAGAGTCCTCACCTATGGAAGCCTTTGGTTCCTCTTGTCTCAGATATGGCTGTCTCTGGTTCCCCTTGTTCCAACTATGAATGTATATCGCTCCTCTTGTCCCGGTTATGGCCGCCGTCTCTGGTTACTCTTCTTCCAGCTATGGTTCTCTCTGGTTTCTCTTGTCCCTGTTATGGTTGTCTCCGGTTCCTCTTGGCCCAGCTGTTGCCGTCTCTGGTTCGTCTTGTCCCAGCTATGGCCGTCTCTGGTTCTCTTTGTCCCAGCTATGGGCGTCTCTGTTTTCTATCGTCCCAGCTATGGTTGTCTCTGGTTCCTCTTGTCCAACCTATCGTCTCTGGTTCCTCTTGTCCAAGTTATGGTTGTCTCTGCTTCCTCTTGTCCCAGCTATGGTCTTGGCTGGCTGCTGGAGTTGAATCCTAGTCCCTGGCTTATCCTACGCAGCGGACAGCCATCGGCTTGTCGCGGCGAAAGTTGATGCGATGTTACGCAGAAGTGGATAGGTGGGTATTGAGATGAGATGTTAGAGGGGGTGAGGGGGGAGGGGGAGGGCGGAGGAGGAAGTGGGAGGTAGCGTAGAAAGCGCGGAAGACGTTCCCGGGGGGAAAGCTTGGTGGTGTTTGCTCGGTTTCCGGCAGCGAGCGGAGGTTCATCCAACTGTCGCACTTGCCATTGCGCGTCTGCGCTCGTCGAGAGGGGGTGAGGGTATCAGCCGTTGACGGAGAAAGCGCGGCGCGTGAGCGGAAGAAGGTCAAGTCGGCCCGTCCGAACCCCCTCCACCTTCGCGCCGCCGATTGCGGCGTGTCGGGAGCTGTTGGAGGACCGTGCGGCTCGTAGTGGCCGTAACAATATACTTAGGTCTAACAATATCTAAACAGGTCGCCGAAAAAAAAAAGTATCATTCTTGGAAGATTCCATCAGACATTGTTTAATTGTTCCTTGTATTTTGCATAGAGTTGACGTAATACTGTCCAGCCACCGGTTATGGTAATGCTTTGCTTGTGAGTTCATGCAGTCATAAAGACTCAAGTAGTTAATCGAATGAGTGTACAATTTTTTTGTTCGGTCCTTCTGCACATTCGCTTGCTTCTTGACACCTCCACCTGCTCCTCGGGGGCGACTTTTCACCAATTTTGTGTGCGGTTCGTAAGTGCTCGTTCGGTATTTGTTGAAACCCATAAACACGAGTTGTGTATTAAAAGTCGATTCATTGCCACGAATATTGTAAGAAAAATACACAAGGGGATCAAGGAAACCTATATGTGACTCTTATTACGCCACCTTGCTGATCTGAATAAACGGAGAGAGAAAGAGAGAGAGAGAAAGAGAGGCGGGGGGGGGGGGGGGGAGGGGGTAAATCCGCTCTTCTAATCTTTTGCTGGGAATCAGCAGAAGTTATGAACAAGAACCAAAACAAATTACATGAGATAACGACGCTGGTCTATGCAGTATAGATGATAAATATCATTAAGCATGCACTGCAGTAGAGCATGCATCACGCAGTAGTGGTACGCGACCGCGCTCCTGTACGTGCTGTCATGCACGTCTAAGTCATCTAAATTGCAATGGAAAGGGGTGGGGTCGGACCCAGGATCCCCAGGTTCCACAGCGGGAGCTTGCACTCCATGTGCTCCGAGCTTCGGGTCACGTCGGAAGAGCTGGAGAGCTGACTATTTAAAGGATTTGGCTACCAAAACAGACGTGTCCCAGCTCTCAGCTGACATCGACTTCCTCCTTGCACAGTTGTTTTCGTTTTATGTGTCTTGTTGGTTTCGTTCCCACAATTTTACATTGTCATGCTAATTTTAGTTTTGATTATTAGAGAGTTTTAGGGAACCGTTTTTGCACACCCGATATGGTATGACGGGCCCTCCAGTACGAACTGCGCACGCGCGAGTCTTCTGTGGTAGCGCATGCGCAGTTACGTACCGGGCGGCCCATCGTGCCGTATCGGATGTGCAAGAACGGTTCCCTAAAACTCCCTATAGTCATTGACGGTTGAGGAAAGACGACTGTTTGTTTCAAGTGCTCCTCCGCATTTAAAGTCGTGCGTTGTGTCAACACCTCGTGGTGGCGGTTGGTTCTATCCTCGAGGGTGCTTCGAGCTACGCGTGAGCTAAAAGTTTTCAAATAGAGCTTGTGTGCCACTTGGTTATTTTGTAGTTACCGTAGTTGAAGGCTACACCCTCACGTCGGAGATTGCCCTACTACGAGACACACTCTGCTGTTTTTGAGTTTTCGTTTAACGTTTCAAACCCTTGTATAGTCACACCACGTGCGCTACATGCAGAAGTGTTATGTCTGAATATTGCAGCTGATTTGTGGTATACGCGCTAACAGCATGCAAATCGCTCTATTATAGTAATCATGGTGCATATAAAAATTATGTTATTAAGGAGTAGGCAGAGAAGGCCTCTCGTCCTTTCTAAGAACGCCATAAAAACACGAGGCGTTATAACATTCGCGTCAAAACTGACTATTAACGGTAATATTACTTTCGAAAGCACAAACATCCTTACCGTAAACTCGATGCTTATTTTTCGCAGCTTTAACTCAAAGTTCTGCGTTTTTTTTAATTGCCGTAAAACAGTACATTACAACACTCTGACGAAATCGCGACATGCTGTTCGGTGGTATTAGGGGTGCATATTTAAGACCTATGTGTAAAAATGGAGCAGACCAATGGGGAGTCTTCAAGGTGACACTGGTTTCGCCATTTATGTGTCCCGCGTTAAAAAAAAAAAAAAAAAAAAAAAAAAAAAACATAATGGATTTTTACCGGTTTTCTATACCCAAATTTGCTCTTGTTATGAATCCTCACCAACCTCTTAGTTGGTAATGACTGCAGGAAGCGCCCATGACAAGCAAAGCCCGCCAACTGAAATCAGCGTCGACGATGTCAACACGATTGATCATATTACGGGAATATGAAACCCTCTCAAACGCCACAATAATCACCGTATTTGGCTTTCAGGCATAGATGAATTGCTGCTCAGCTTTAGGCGACTGACAGGGCGCAACATGTTTTCGTGTCGCAAAAAACAAAAAACAAAAAACAACACAAAGAAGCAAGAAAAAACGTGAAAAATACGATAATGCAACACGAACAAAGTCCCCGAATCCTTAATAACATGATCAACGATCCAGTGCAGACAGACGAGGCGTTTAGTGTAGGGGGGAGACAAATGTGCAACTCCTCGCACGTACGCTCGCTGGCTATACCCCCCCGAAGCGAACCAATCACACTTCCCGTCCCTGCGACTGTTAAGAAAGTGCGAGAGAAAGCCGCCACTCGATTACACAAGAGGACCCCGTGTGTTCTCTCCAGCCGACGACGACGACGACGACGACGACCAACGGCAGTTGTATAAGTTACATAACACCGGGTCGGCAAGGCAGGCAGGCAACACGTCAGCTTTCCGTCGGCCACTGCTGCCTCGCGAAGGGGGGAACTACTACGATGCTTTTCTTCTCCGCCGCTGACCCGTTTTTGATGTTGCGCTTTCTTTTCTCTCCTTTTTTTTTTTCTCTCGATCGAGATTGAAAGTGGGATGCGGTTTCGTTCCCGGTTCTCAATCCGGTCAAGGATACGCTGCTCCGTCGTGACGGTTTTGTTTGGCCAGAGGTGGCGTAATTTGCCAACCTCAATTCACCCCTTTTTACCTTTCCCTCGCCCCCCTCTCCACCGCTCTTTCGTTTCGCGAGTTTTTCCTGAAATTTTTCGTTGTCCGCCTTTTTTTCGTTCTCTTCACAACTGGGCGCTTTTCCCCGTGTCGTTAGAACTCGTTTTCCTTTTTTCCTTTTGTTGCTTATCCCTTTGTATTATTGTATGATGTGCTTCGCGAGTGCGATGTCTACACGTATACGTTCTCCTTAAGTGCTTTTTGGGTTTGGCCCGCGTCCGGCGCCCGTCTCAAGGTTACGGGGCAAATCGCCGTGGCTTACATCCACAGCGGGTCACCCATATACTTCCAGGGTTTTGCGTCTGTGCGTTGTGCGATGGCGATTGTTCTAGAGAGGTTTACCCCTGGTGCGTTCTAGTGAGCGAGAATGTTAATAGAATGCTCTGAAAACAACTGAAAAGGAAAAGTAGTGTACTATACGTTGCGCAAATCTATGCGGAAATAAGCTGAGGGAGAGGAGGAGAAAGAGAGCGAGCGGGGATTTCAGAGCGCCGAGCTCTGATTGGAAGGATTAGTGGGTAGAAAGAAAGGCCAGCTGCCTTTGTCTTTACCAAGTCTTCGAACTTCGCTCAGATTCGTGGTGAAGATAACCATAACTTCGAGAGCGCTCGTACGTTCTGCACGCCCGTCATGTTTAATTTTAATAAAGGTGAGAATCATTAGGCTCAGAGGGTTCGACTACTCTGATGCTAAATGACAAAGTCCCAGGGTGTGACGAGGTCGAGGCATGGTTTCTTCGTAGATATGTGTGCTTCGAACATATCCGGAGGCGGTCTTTGTATGATCAATGTGACAGGGCTGCCATAACAGGGAACAAGTACGCCTCAGACGGTGTCTGCAGACTGTTTTTTGTTTGGCGTATCAGCAGTGTGGCCAAGGACACAGAGTTTTAATGATGTACGCTAGGGGCTCAAATGGCGCTAGTGTCCAAAGCGACTTCCGGAAGGCAAATTGAAGCAGACATCAACCAGTCTACTTTTGCGTTGCTCATGTGCATTTTTATGAGAAAACGCGCGTGTGTTTTTTCTCCTCGCCGGGACATAACGTGGAACAGTTTTGTTATCTGGGTCGTACCCAATAGTATGTTCCTTTATAGACGCTTTCAGGTAGCTGTGCATGGACGCCGCCATTACCGACCTTCAGTTTTTGTTCCAATTCCGTTCGCTCCACTTCATTATTACCACAGGAGGAGAGGCTATTGCCATTTTAAGCGCTACTGTGTCCTTCTCCCCAGCATAGGCCTTTGTGGGAACTCGTCAAGGCCCGCTTCAGTGGCTCGGCATCCCGGTAAGACAAGAGAAGGTCGGCTATGGCGGCTCAATCTGGCGCGTCTATAAAGCGTCTATTAACACTGTAAAAGTGTAATTTCTTTTGTTAGATAATTTTTTTTTGACATCAGTGAACGATGTTTAATTTCGCTATATTTCAGAACCCAACCTGTGTTCCACAGCAGGGTTGTAAAACCAAGCGACGATTCTAAGCAAAATGACAATCGAAAGGAATGCAGAGTGTGTTCAAGGTTTGCTAGAATTCCGGTGACTTTCATATAATGCTAATATGTCGGTCCTGTCACTATTACGTGAAAATGACCCCGTCTTGCATCGTCACGAGCGGTTACAAAGATTGAAGACGTAAAAAATTAGCTATGTGCGCTATGAAAGGTGGCTCTCTTTTTATTTTATTTTCTGCCACGCAGTTTTTATTAGGCACTTCTCAGAGATTTTGAGCGTGCGGGTGATGCCTTGAACGTAGAACAAGCCCCTCCGCACAGAGCAGAAAGAATAAAGCAGTACTT